TTCGCTTTTTTCTTTTAAATAAATTTAGTAATTGTTTTAGATGACAAATTAAATAATTAGGACCAAACAAGTAAGTAGGCTGTTAACAAGAGATAAAATTAGAATAACCAAAAATGCCAAATAATGTAAAGTATATAACTAGAACAGTTAGCCTATACGTCAGTCATAAATTTTTCAGAATAACTACATATATAATTTTTGAGCCTAATACTATTTTGAGTGAAAGCGTTTGGTAAAGAGATTCAAAGGTCGATTCCACCAGAAGACAACGACGGATTTCTCTTGACCAGCGGTAATCTCCTTCGATTCCAGTGAAAAGGTGTTAAGCTTTCGTACGTATTATGACGAACATCATCAGAGCAAGGTATCATTGTCACAACCAAATTAAAGGTGATGTGTCGAGAAAACCTTTCTTTGCATATATATAGTTAGCCAAAATTTTAGAAATTTATATTTTGATTGATATTTTAAGGAAAGAGTTGCAACTAGAGATGTAGAAATTTCGGTTCTGGTATGGCCTTTTAACCCGCATTCAAGCAATCAATGTGAGAGCCATTGCGATGAGGCATTTAACCACCCTAATAGTTGGTTCGTACTTATGTGCTAAATAGTATGAATTCAGAAGATCCACCAGATCAGCACCTCTTACAAATAAGAAAATTGTATTATTTCCACTTCAATTAAGAGTTTCTTATTAATTAATTAAAAGACGTATCACCCAATTACGTTTAAGGTGATGAAGGACTGTTAGAAGAATTTTCACACAATGAAATGCGTTGAGCTGGCGTTTCCATTGAATTTCACATAGCCTTGCTTTCCCAAAAGGTGTTCTCAAGTAGGGAGAGCAAGGCCATGTGAAATTGAATGGAAACGTCAGCTCTACTCATATCATTCTTCTACCAGTCCTTCATCACCTTAAACGAAATTGGGTGAATACATCTCATGTTATTGATTTACTGGTAGTTTCGAAACAATAATTAAATGCGAAAAATAATTAATTATATATTTGCTTTAGGGGCTTCTGAATAATACTAGCTACGATGTATGAAAATGACCTTTTAATTTTGTGTTATTTTCCTCACTTGCTAATTCTTGATATATACGATTTAGAAGGAAGATATTACAATTAACATTATTGTTACAAAAATGGATTCGATTTTCTTTATTTTCGCTCTAAACTAGTACCATTGACTCGAGTTAACATCATCCCTTCACAACGTGCCGATCCGAGTGATATCTATGTGATGCTGACCTGCGAGTGGCTTGGCGATCTGCCTGAAGGCGTAACAGAATTGGCTTTCCGTTGGTATAAAGAATTAAATCAAGAAGAAATGATTCCTGGCACCCAAATTCAGGCTATGCCCATCTTGTACCAGACGACAAAGAAGGATCCGAATGTCGTCAAGCTCTGGACATGCCAGGCATACGATGCGGAGAAAAACGTAGTGCATGGACAGGCAACCCTCGACTTAAAGGCAACGGCCACCAAAAAAAACACACCAATCGGTAGATAATGAGGGCAGTAGTTGCTTTTTTATAGACATATTTCTAAAATCAGTGAGAGAGCAAATACTCACCCTCTTCCTTAACTCTTGATGGATTTGGTTAACCTATGCATGGGCACACACTTCCCGGTTATGTATAATGTAGCATAAATGTTGGTGGATATAAAGATAGAAATAATCTATTTAGTAGATTAATTCACGCGACAACTTTATTATCTGAAGTACGTATTCAAAATACATGCAAGTACATGACTTTCGTCATATCCGTCCTCCTCTAGACCGAGTACTCTTCTATAAAAGGCAGCTTAAAGATTATTAAATTATTCATTTTTAGAGACATCAATACCTCAGTTTCACATTGCCTTTAAGGGTCTTTCCATGTATAGTGTTTATCAACAATGTCAAGAATACAATAAAGGGTACAAAGGCCTTGCTGGTCTAAAGGTTTATCACTATTATTCGTGCACTTCTGGTAGCTGAGTGTGGAAACACTGCTATTAAGCAACTCATCTTAGTGCGTATATAATATGTCAAAGTTTTATTTTGTTGTATAATTGTACATTCTGTACTGGAGGCAAAATTGCTGGTCTAATTGATCCTTTCATATTTTAGATATGTCTTGGGTTTCAACTAAGATATACAGCTACTACAGGAAGAGCAGACTTCAGCTCTTTTGTTACGCCCTGACAGATGTTGAACCCGTGAGCCTATACAATTGATACCATTTTTCTCGTTTTGTATCTGACTGTGGCAGCAAAGGCCTGCATATACCCTTTCAGCATGCCTCGTATTGGACATAAAGAAAAATAATTATTGGAATCTGAACACAATTCCATTTTTGAACGAATGATGAAGCAAGTTACCGTTAAAACGTCAGTTTATTCGCCATCCTCATAAAGGGTACTTGCCTAAGTGGCAAGCAAATTTGTATCAAGAGAACTAAGTTTTGATGCAAAGGATCCCGATTCTTAGCTCATTGATATTCCCTAAAATGGTATTGCCTAGAAGGAGATAGAAAGGTTTGCATGTAAGATATTCGGCTGGTTAGGTAAAATGCCAAAATTTCAGCCATCAGTGCCAGGCTGAATTGGTTCCTTAGAATGTAGCCCCTGCCCTATTAAGGACTTCTCGATAATTTTTATGCAGTGCTTATCTTAGAGCTCCTATACGTCCATAGAATACGCAAATAGTGATGGGTTGTTCTCATTTTAATACCTTCTACGAGACCTCTACGGCAGCAATGAATCAGGCAGAGACCAAGACTTTCATGATTTTCAGAAGAAAATGGTATCAGAAGTGTTGAGAACAAGTGGTTTTGGGGACGTAATATATTTCACCAGGGAACCAAAATCCCTGTTTGCCAATTATGTGGGTACTCCGTGAATATACCAGGATGAAGAAACGTTTTGTGATAATGAGCACAATATTTTATATACCACGGTCTTTCCGAAGCTAATATATACTAACATTTATCAACTGCTACTCTCTCTCTGGGAGTCATTATCATAACCAAACATGTTAATTAATCATTCTACAATACAATAGTGCCTTCGAGGCAGGGATCCCTGTTGCAACTCCTTTCACAAATTGTAGCTGGCATATAAATTAAATTAAAGTTTCGTGTGAGTTATCTGCATTCAGTTCTAAATATTTTAACTTATATTTATTTCTCAGTCCACAGTATTCTTCATTTTATGTATTTTATAGAAATATGAATGGAAATTGAACGGTGGACCCCTACCACCCAATGTCGCTATCGAGTACCATCTTGTCAGTAGTACTCTATTCATTGATAATGCTGGACCCGAGAACGAGGGGCTGTATTCTTGTGAACAGAACTCCATAAAGATGTTTACCCACCTAATCTTTAAAACCCGTGAGTACTATGTTCATCAGGTTTGTTAAAGTACGAGCCGGAAAACACGAATTGTCTAGCTTTAGCTTAGGTAAATGTATTACGGTTATAGAAAATCCTGCACTAAGGTCTTCTGCGTTCTGAAAGGATAGGTTTGAAGCTGTCTCAGTTGGTGGATTCAGTGCGAGGAGATGATATATTAACTCAGTAATAAAGTGCCAAACCTGATGCCAACTATGGCACTAGGCGACTATTTTGTGTAAAACTAAAGTAAAATGGCTTAGATGATTTAGTAGCATAATAAAGAAAAATGTCGGATCGAATTCTTGATCAGTCATTTAATGGGGTGACTAGATTGGTCATGATGTAGATATGGTGGTCTAGGCAATAATGCCTTGAAGAATCGGTGTAATTCTTAACTCTACAATTTGTGTTAAAAATTTTCAATTTTTTTCTCCATAAGCTTCAAAAAAAATTTTACTTATTGTTCCTTATTTTCCTTATCTCAAACTGTCTTGCTACTTCCTATGTCCCACCAACTTGCTTATCTCTCATCGTCACCCCTGATTTACATAAACACCTCCACACCTCTCTAATACAAACAATACGCAGTTACCTTGCTATTTATCTCATAACCACATCACAAAATCCAGTCTTATTGGACCCAATCAATCTAGAAAATAATAATCTTTTGCAAAAAACTCACATCCATACCTAATCCATCTGAAAACATTGGCCAACCCTCGCCTTACATACCATGCTCCTATCTTGACACATACGTATACTTAATCTCCTTTGGCTCGGCTTGATACTCCTCTTGCTCCACTTCGCCCCTAAAGTACTCCTCAACATCACTGTGCACCCACCTATTAAAAAGGTGCAGGCCGACTTTAAGCAGCCTGCCGAGTTCCAATGTCGTCTGGCCGGCTACGAGGAAGAAAGTGAGGCGGTATTTCTCTGGAGCTTCCAACCGGACTCGGCTAGCCTTCCTGGCCCATTGCCAGATGATGTTATTCTGCAATCCACTGGACAATATATCAAGATATGGAACCCTCAAGTGTCCCACTCTGGAAAGTACTTATGCTCTGTGCTTGGACGCACTTCACACGGTCAATTGATTGTTCAGGCACTCGGTGAGTCTCTTCGAAGTTGAGCTATGAAGCGTATTATAACAAATAGATACAAAAATCTACATGTCACTCAGGCATGGTTATCATTTGGAGGGTATGTACAATTTTTCAAGAAGTCTAAATGAGATTAGGAAGATTTACACG